TTATTAAAAAATCTTCCAAAAATAAAATATACTTTTCTGAAATTTTATTTGTGGGAAAATTAGCTGATTTAACGTATACTTAATCTGATTTGAAACAAATATTATTTGCTTTAAGTTAAAAATATAGCAGAATTTTTAACCGGTAGTAGCTGTATTTTTAGCCGACTTAGCTGTGTTGACAATGTTGTTCAACGGAGACTTTGTCTGTAAAACATAATTGTAGAAAATAACGTGAATGCCTTTTTTATTTACTTTTTAATTACTCCGTAATTTAATCTTTTATTGAATTTTAGAAATTTTGGCTTTGAATTTACCAACGGTCAACGGTCTTATTTTCTGATAATATCGTCTATGGTAACACGCACTTAAAAAAAAACAAAAAAACAGCACGTTTATACCCTAATAAAAAAAAAATATTTTTTAAATATTCGTGCTTGATGATTTGTACTAAGCTTTTCCATTTATAATTAGTAAATATAGATTTCGCTTAATAATAATGCCATCAAAACCACTGAAATCAATACAGAATTTTAAAAGATTTAAAACTTAATAAATCTTTCCAATTAAAATTTAACATAAATGAGAACAATTCTTGTAAAAATTCATTATTCATGGAAAATTTGTTTTTCGTAAGACAAATAGAGTTCTAAATATATTTCATTTATAAAAGCAATTGAAAGTTTTTCTAATTAAATAATATCATAGTTTTATTGCATTTTTTTATTTTACGATTCAGAACAGATATTCGGTAAATGCTGTTTCTGTTTGACAGAAACAAATTCCTGATTTAACTTCTTCACATAGTCCTGGAATTCTAATTTCTCGAAATTTCATAAAATTAAGTAAGTGTGGGTAACAGATGTAAAAAAAAAAAATACCAAAATTTTGTAAAAAAGATATTTCAAAAATAATTTAATTCATTTGAGAATAAGTCGTGAACATTTGTTTTAGAAAACGAAAAATATTTGATTTTTGCAAGAATCAGGGTTTAGTATCGCTCCAATTGCTACGTACATCAGCCTCATCTCAACATGGGCGAGAGGAATACAACTTAAATCTTTTTCATATGTTGTAGTTTGCCAAAGCTCTTGCAACTTTTACTTTCTGACATACAACCGAGTTTTCAACTTTCTCCACATAATTCATGGGCTTTGGGCAGGCCAATATTGTAAGTCTGTAATGTCCTCATACGTGATAAATTTCTTTGTCATACGCATTATATAATGTTCTTTGCACATTGCTGAATGTTTACTTCTTTTACTCGACACTGTATACTGCTTATATAGGAAGGATTTCCAAAACGTGAGGTACAAAATTTTGCTAATCTAAAATCATTATTACTATACGAAAAACATTTTACGGATGTTATTAGTGGTACTATGCTACTTTTTTTCAAGATTGAAGCACCTATTCTATTGGTGTGCGGGCGCATTAATATCCTTCTCCATAAACCTCTTGAGTCATCAGTAACAACAGCATCATCTGTGTTGGCTTCTTTGCTGGATAAATGTTCAAGCAGATACACGGTAAATCATATCGCTTAAGACACTCTTTTATAAGATGGTCATATGCCATGTTTCGTTGACTTACAACAGGAAATACCATTTCGCAAACATCATGGTCTCGGCTTCTTTAGCTACATCAACTTTTTAACAGTAACCGGCTTCGTTAATTATCTGTTTTTGGTGTATGAAATCAAGAGCAGTATACCATTTGCATTCCAGAAAAAAGTTACCATCAATTTCTACGGTAATCGCTGAACTTTGAATTAGGAAGAGGCGGATGGGTAATGACTGTTGGTTCCGCCTTTGCCATTGGGATAACATAATGAATCCAAGCCTCAGCACTGATAATCACGTACTCCGGAAAATCCCCATCATCTCTCTTTTATGTTGATCATGTTTGCCGTAGTCTCTGAATATGGAATCCAGTGAAGTCCGTAATGTGTTCAGAGGTTGGCAGTGAAGATTCAGAGAAAATAGCGGTTGTTAAGTAATTCTTTAAGTCTTCGATATCAGGTTGGCAGTGAAGATATTTTGGGAGAAAAAACAAAATGGCTGCCTTTATACACGTCGGATTGAATATTTTGAGCTTTCTGATTGGTTAACCCTTCTCTTGGTGGACTATAAAATGAGTCAGCTCATTTTGGCTAGCTCACTAGTACACACATATATCCAAAAAAATGTAACATTTTGCGGTTTGAAAAGCTGAAAATAACTGATCCACTGGAATTTGTTTTCTCTAATCAATTCCTTTGGGGCACAAAGTTGTATTTTTGCCCCTAGACTGTAAAATGTTATTACATTGCGCACAACTGTTTCTCTTCTGTTTTAATGTAGCATTCATTTTTGTGATGACCTCATATAAACATGCGCTCAATATTAAGCTTCTACAAGACATGTTTCCAATGTCCTGTTTCGAATATTCATAAAAATAATAACGGTTTCAGGTTTATTCTTAACCTTTAGGCTTATGGTCATAACACGCTGGAAACACCGGTTCTTCTTTGGTCACCTATGTTTAGCAGTATTTAAATTCGGGTTTCGCTTTGTAACAACGGGCACTGTAAGCAACCTCCAAAAATTCGAAATATTTTTGGGCTTTAAATAAACCACAAAGGATTGATAAGACGCAAAAACAAACAAATCAATCCTTACTCATGGTATGACCATTTTCATGATATATAAAATAATTTGATGGGATTATAAAGTAAATTTGTTCTTAAACGCTTACTGCCTGGTTAACTCCATTGGTGAAACTATATGTAAGTGAGTAAAGAACTATTTTAACATTAAATTGGATTTTATCTTGCTCTGTTCATCAGTGAGCACATTTTGTTGCAGTAAACATTTTCCTGGTGGTAAGACCAACTTCTATCACTTTTCACTCATGTGTGTACACTCATTATTATTGTACAGTGCTTACACGCCTATTCGTATATACCTACCTACCTACCTACCTACATACATATATATATATATATATATATATATATATATATAAAAGTGAACATTGAAGTCAACAATCAGAGGCGTCAGACTGTTTCATACCAGACGCAATCATCAGGCCACATGTGTTGTTTTTATTCTCGACTATTTATATATACAGCTCAGTAGTGCATTGTAGCTAGTTTATTTTAACGGTTATTTTGCCAGGAGTGGTTTGTTAATTTATTTATTTGGATTAATTTATTTTACTTGTTTTTTTTATTTATTTTTATTTTATATATTTTTAGTAACGTAGTAAAAAAATTGTTTTCATGTCTGCATTTTGAGATGCGCATTGATCGTTTATTTAATAATTTGTTTTGGTCAGGAAAGGTAATAGAGCACTTCATCCCATAAATATAGCACACCTTAAAACTGTATTTTTTCATATTTTTCTATATTAGAGTACACTGATTTAGTCAGAATTTAATTCGGGATACTCATGATGTTTTAAGCTTGATTGAACCGGATGCGCAGAGCTACATTTGACATCTCTTGGATACAATAGCCAACTGAATCATTGCTCTATATTTCTACAATCTTACGCGAACGCAGGACAAAGCTGGAAACCATAAAAAGAACTCGCGAATAATCTACTGCTCTGGACATCTAGCCATGGAGCAAGATAAGTTGGTCTAACAACAACCATATACATTGATCAGCTACGTTATGACACAGGATTTCACCGTAAAGACCTTTCGATTTTGATGCATGACCATAATTGTTGGCATTATAGACTCATCAATGTCCAAACTAACTTTACAGAGTAAACATGAGAATTGAATATATTTTGTGTACGGAGCGCCATTCAATTCACGTTAATTATGTAGCCTTTTTTTAACTGACCATTCGTTTCAAAGTGGAATTTGTGTTTCGAAAATGTTTCCATATTTACAAAATTATCATTAATGCATTTACTTTTTTGGTATCATCGACTAATAGGACCCAATAACAGGACGTCTAACGGGACGACTAACAGGACTCAGCGTAATGATTGATCAAATGGAGAAGCAATATTATATTCACAGTGCCGAAAGTGTGTAAAGAAAACCTCTTGGCCAACAATCACCTGCATCATCTACGAAGTCTTGCAAGAAATGAATAATCCGAATGTCAAAGATTTGCTCGCAATTACTGATGGAATTTTGAGGAGTACCGTTTTGATGCATGCTAAAAAAAGTTGAACCATATTTTACAGCATTATTGTATTTATAGAAATATAGAGAGTTGAGAAAATTAACACACACACATTCACAACTACACACCCACCCACCATGTTGGTCCTTTTCATTTATATTATTCACGCTACCATCGTTGCTTTTTTGCTGTCGGCATTTGAATTAGCAATCGTGATGCTCACATTTCAAAGACTCTTTTCATCTCTGTTTTGATCTGTTTCTCGTCATCGCACATCTATTGTAATCAGGTAGCCTTTGCCTACAAAGTTCAAGGAAAAAAACCTTCCTCAGAGTCCAATCCCAGTAGCCTCGATTTCATATTGTATTTCGACTTAGAAGAATCAGTGCCTGTTGCAGAGAGTTATCTCTCCTTAATTCAATGCACCATTCATCTTTTAAATCAGACTAGTATTATTTAAACTGATTTTTATTATTCACAGTATTATTAACATGATAATACTTACTTTTATCCCGGTTTTTCTACTTCCTTACCTCTAATTATTTCCCTTCAGTTTTCTGGTCATATTTTTCGAATAATAGTTATTTGCTGATAGCGATATCACGTCCTTCTCAGAATGTTCTCGAGAATGTTTTAAGCATAGTTGGCTCTTTGTCTGGCTATCTTCGACATCACTTCTATTTGACACCATTTTTTCGACAAATAAAAGACCCGCTGTGTCAGCAATTTTATGTTATTCATCCTGTTCCTGTCAGATTACAGTAAGCAGCCTATCTTTAACCTTCAATAAAATGAAAGAATTATGTTGAAAAAATATAAATAAGGTAAAATATAAATCAGTCGCTGTTTCAAAATCCATTTTTTTTATTTGTTAACGCTTCCTTCGGCATTAATCCTTATACATTTGATTTTCTTTCATCACGAAAAAAATCTTATTTTTTTCATTTAATATTCATTTGTGATCATCATTCAAGCTTCAGTTGTGTTTCTTTTCATCAGATTTAAAGAATTCTAACACAGCTTCATTTATATTTGATATTAAATGATTTTTTTCTTTTACAAAAAGTTACTTAACAGGATATATTACCGCTACTTCGTAGGAATCCTTAAAATTTTGCCGTGAGGCTTTTCTGACAGAACGTAAATATCAGATTTCCAACAACTTTTTTAATTTCAAACAAAACAGCTCTTTTTATATTTGTAACATATTGGTCATGTAGACAGGTTTCGATCTTGGCTACAAGTATCAAACATTTTATACATGTTTCTAAGATGTCTTCATGATTGTACCAGGTTGAGTAAAAAAAAATTCGGATTTTCACTGATAATGTTTGGAAACTTGGATCTCCATGTTATATCATTAATTTGATACAAATTTTCCAATAATATATTCATATATAACATAAACATTGTTTATTCTATATTTTTAAGCTTTGATAATGAATGGTGAAAAATAAAATCAGAACCATTTTATGCTACCGGTGAAAAAAAGAGCTGAGTGTAAGGGCAGCGGCACAAGAAATTAATGTTGTAGAAGGTCCAGGAACTGTCAACAAAGATGTGGTATAAACTGGTTCAGAAGTTTCAAGGAAAGTGGCGCCAGTCTGGAAGACAAACCGAGATCAGGGAGACCTGTTTTGAAGGATGAGTCCTTGCTTGAAAAACAGCTATGCACAAACACGCCGTATAAAAGGACTGATATCGTTTAGCAGCTCAGCACTCATTTCTTTGTTTATAATGAAATTTTCTACTTACATAGTACTTTGCTTACATTTTGGAATACGTCTTTTACTATGGCAATGCTTGTTTGGATTTCGGTGTCGCAATTTCCATTCACAGTTAAAACTAAAAGGAACTATTTTCGAAGCTCCCTATTTACTCGAGTCAAAATAAGAGATATTTCTCTTTCGACATTAAAACAAATAAAAAAAAACTTTTGAAAGTTTGTCGGAGGGTCTGGTTCGAGTGGAGGGGTTAGCAACCCTTGAGGAGGAAAAAAAAGACTTATCAATGGGTGTAAAAAATCGATGTATCAACGGCCAGGCTAAATACAATTTGTGACTCAATAAAAACACTGTGGAGAAGGCAACAGGAAACCAACCCACTATCACTCCCAAGAACAATTATGTTAATAGGCAATATATGTAGAAAACTTTTACCTATATAATATATAGGGAATTTTAAAGATAAATAAAGCGGGTACTTTTAGTTTATCGACTGTAGATAAACGCATGACCGGAGATTAAAACACAGAATCAATGACGAAGTTCAATAAACGTGAATTAGTTGGCATCGATTTGATACAGTCTTTCACTCACCGTTTTTGTTTCTTCAAGTGTTTATATCCTGACAGGAACCATTGTTCTTATATTTATTTATCATTTTCGCACTCTATCTGTCTTTGTTACTGGTTTTCTTTGATTTTACTGTTGTGTAAGTGTGAGGATTCGATCCATTTCAAAGTCAAATTTAACAATATCGTTAAGAAAGGAAACAAAAATGAAAGAATTAGACATCGTCTCAAAAAAATACTAATCTTAATAGGTTCAAAGTTTGAAGCTAAGCAAGAGATGGAAAATGAAAGAAGAAAAAGAAAAGAAAGATGTAGAGTGAGAGAATACGGGAATGAAGGAGAGAAGAGATGAAAAATAAAATGAAAGAGTTTGTATGAGTGAAAGACACAGTAGAAGAAGAGAAAGAAGGAAAAAGGAAAGGGAGTAGAAGACGATGAAGACTGAACGAAGGAAGTAAAGAAGTGGGGGCAGGGGATAAAGAATAAAGAATCATCACGAATGAAACAAACAAGAAGATCTAAAAGAAAAAGAAGAAAATGAAAGAAAAGGGATAACAAAAGGACAAAATGAGCAAAGGCTCAAATGGATAACATTAAGAAGTGAGAGTAAAAGAAAACGATGAATTGAAAACGCAGAAAAAAAAATTCAAACGGAAATAGCTGAACCTAGAAAAATAAAAATAACGACGCAAAGAAAAAAAGTCGAAAATTAAGGCGAAGCTCTGTATTTTTAGAATAAAAACATTTTCTAGGAATCTGGACATGAAAGATTTGAATAGAGCTTTGTATATACAGTCATACATGTATATCCCTTAAACTTAAGGGCCTTCTAAAAAATAGTCCCTGGCATAATTAATTTTAGTAAATGCCTTGTTTCGAGTGATAAAATTTTCAGATTAATTTTTAAATTTTTTTGGCGATGGTTCGAGATAATGCTTTCTCCATCATTGCGGCTGGCAGAGGATAGAAAAAAATTGTATATAGTTACTTTGCTCTAATTTTTTTCAGTAAATATATATCTCTATATTGCCATTTTTAAATATTTTTCCATTTCAATTTTGCAACGTTTGAAATTTTATGCCTAATAAAAAGCATTGACTAGAATTAATAAGTTTCAGAGAGTTTTGACTCCACATCGCCTATCTTTGGGAATCCATCTTTCATAAATGATACTACAGATCTGGCCACAGAAGCCTGAAAAAATCAGATTTAGTCATTTTTACTAAACCATTGTTTTTCAAGGAATATTATTTGTTTATATTTAGACGAAGGTTTTTCATTCCTAATTAAATAGACGAACAAATGCTAATCTAACAATATCAGAACAAAGGCAGAGGTTTTGAAACGCCAGGAAGAAGTTACAATTTTTTATTTTATTTATTTTACCTACAGAGTGTATACAACAATTAAAATCACTAGTTTGATTCTCAAAACGTAACTAAATTCATGAAAATATATTACAGTATGCGATGTATAAACTGTCGTCTAAATTATGCAAAAATAAAAATAACACTGACATCTAGTTTTAACAGATATCTTTACCAAAATGACACAAAGCTATCTTGAAATACTAAAGAGTAAATTTATTCAATAAAATCGCCATTGTCTTCGGAATCTCCTGCAACTCTTCTAGACGGTCACCTTCCTTAAATTGTTGAATGATGCCATAATCCTTGCCTTCAGTTCATCTTTAGTGTTACAAGGAGTTTTGTTGGTCTCTCGCACAACTCCCCCCCCACACACATAATAATCAAGGGATGATGTGGTCGCAGAAATTGTCTGACAGCCATGACTGGGTTATCCTTCTTGTGTGGCATGGTATTGAGACTTGTTGTCAGACATATTATCTTCCAACGACCATCCTCTTGACCCAGGGCAGCATTACTTCCTCAAGTCACTAGATTCAGGTCTCCATGTTGAGTCTGTGACCTCACCAACAAATTCGGGAGATCTTTTATTATCAGAACGATCAGAGAGAGTTTTCCGAGGTGCCGTACCTTCGTAAACACCATTAGGCTCAACCAACTCTTTCCAAATGCTCAGCACTGTCCTGAGATTGACACTTACACACACTGAAATGTTCTTATTGTAGCTTCCGGTGCGAATGCCAAGCAGTTGAGCATGCCATTTCGAAAATGCTGGCGGAGTGAATTGCGCCATGGTGCTCTTTTCTCACAAACGGGTCCAACTGACCCTACTATACTGTGTAGTCGACTGATATGATGGAATATGCATACACCTGTGTTCCCTCTCACTGGAATATGATTGGCTGGTGTCCGTCATAAATACAGACGTACGTGTGTAGGTACGACAGAGTTTAAGTCTATGACGACTACGCCATTGGCTATTTTATTGGTCTACACCTATTACCTGCGACTACGACGAGTACAAATCGCTTACTGCTACCGTGTACTACTTGGTTACAGTAGCCAAATCCACTTAGCTACTTCGATCAAATATATCCCTTTTCGGGACATATCATCTACAAAATCAAATGACAAACAACGCACATGCACGAAATTAAAAATATAAAATGATGACAATTTACCCATTGCACACTATATATATATATATATATATATATATATATATATATATATGTGTGTGTGTGTGTGTGTGTGTGTGTGTGTGTGTGTGTGTGTGTGTGTCTGTGGATACGTATGTATATATGTATGTATAATTAATACAAGTAAAAGTTTTGTGACTTAGCTGATTGTTGATAGCTTCGGCATCCCGACTCCAGAGATTCGTAGACAGACCCGTCCGTCCACTCGTCAGAGCTATCAGCAGCTGACTTCTTATACTTCTAGATTTTTCTTTTTTATATACACTTATCATTGGTGCATGTTCTTTCCTAGTGTGTGTGCGTGCCCGTCTATGCGGATGACGTTTTTTTTTCCTTTTACACTCAAACCATAACCTTTCTCTGGTATCCTCAGTATCTTTCTGTGTCATTATTATACATTAATTTATTGAGTGTTCTCGTCTTGATTGCTTAACCAAAATGAGGACATATATAAAGAGTAATTTTCTACGGGTGGTGTCCGAATTGATGATAAACGTGAATTGGGCTACGAAAAGAACTTGTTAGAATTGCGCCACCCATAAACGCAAATTAGTGCCTATCAATCTTAGAAGAGGGAATTATTTTAGGGAACGAACTCGTTAACATTCATATTACGATAAGCATTCTCTAACCTGAAACAAAACTACAAAACTATGTTGACATTGAAATTTGTTGCATGAACAAATTAATATGCGAGATGCATTTACAGGAATGTTACTGTATCTGTTTTTATGATTGTCAGCTTAGTCAAAAAATAGACTATTGCTGTCATAATTGTCTGGAGTTGCCTGATCTTCACTCTACAGTATTGTTCTAAATCTTTTATAGGGTCTAGTCAGGAATTTGACACCCTACTGTCCTTTTTTCTATAAACACAACGTCGCAAACCTTTTACTACGCTATCGCTATTTCTATGGCAAATGTTCAGAAGAGCTTTAGTTTTTACTTTCACCAGTTTAGACCTTTACATCTACGACACGCTATGTTCTTTCCGCTTAATAGAATGACTCTCATTTCCTCCTTGTTCCAAA